TTTTTTTTTTTTTTTTTTTTTTTTTTTTTTTTTTTTTTTTTTGGTCGGGTGCTTATCTAGTTCTTGCACGCCCGGACCACCCATGAAAACAAAATAACCCTGGCGGCCCGACTGACAACTTTGTTAAATCATAATTAAAAATTCTAAACTTAATACCTAGGCTACCTAAGTAACTTGCTGCATTTATTAAACTGTGTTATTAAATTGTACATAATAATAATAAAATATTAAACAAATATTTTTAGCTTTAAATTTTTACCCTGATTTCATTAAAAAAATCTAGCTAAACCTATGATAAAATTTATTCAGTTCATTTTTCTACGTACCATTAGGTTGGAAAAGGGGCAGCCAAGTTTACGTTGGTTGTCAGGAAGACCCGACATTGCAATATCGAAAAAACGTCTATAAAAATAATTAAAAATATTTGTTGTCGAGGCCTACGTAGCACACTGAACATGTTCGATGCCCTACTGTGCATTCAAATGCTCGATTGAGCGGGAACTGAACATGTTCGGTTGAGCGGAAAAAAAAAAAAAAAAATCCTCAGGTGTGTGTATGTGTGTGTATGTGAGTATGTTCAAGAGTGATGGGCAATACCCCCCAGAACCCTCCCACCCCTATATACAAAAAATAATAATAATAATAACAATAATAATTAGAATGTTCGGGCTCGGTCAATTTTGAGCTATTTTCGGTCTCGGTACGGTGCAATCAGGTTGGGTGACTGAGCCCGAGCGTGATACTACCCATGTCCTGGCTACAGAGCGGCCCGGGACCACTTCCTCGACCGGACAAAAAAAAAATAGAAAAATAAAAATTGGCTAGGCTACTAGCCGGGTCGCCCGGAACACTCCGTTTTCCTTGGGCGGCCCAGCCGTGCAAGGACCAGAGAAGGTCCCAACAAAAGAAGAAAAAATACAAAAATTGTAAAAACAAACTATGTTATGCAAAAAATAAAACTGAACAACTTTTGCCCTAAGGTCAAATCAAAATTTTTTCCAAAAAAAAAATAAAATAAATTGTATTTTTTATTTCTTAATTTGTTTTTGGCCCAACGGGGCAAGTGGGCCCGTGCCACTCTGGTAGCTTACAAAATTGGTAAATTATTTTTTATTTTAAATTTGGTAAATAATTTCGATGTGACCCTTGGACAAACGTTGTTCATTTTTTTTTCTTCGCATAACATAGTTTGTTATATATATATATATATTGCTCAGTCATTCGCTGGTCTTTGTATGACCAGGCCGCTCGAGAAAATAGGGTGATCCGGGGGGCCTGAATGGTAGTCTAGTTTGTTGTATAAAAATATAAACTTAAATTTTTTTATCCTACAGTCAAATATAAAGCCTTTATGAAGTTCAAAATAAAAATTAAAAGTTGTTTGCTGGGCTACGGAGTTTTGAATTGAAATTGGAAAGGAAAGGAAGAGGTTGATATTAGTAAAATTTGAAATCAGTTGTACACGTCTCACAATCACGCTGTAAGGAAAACACACTAAATATGTGAAAACCTCATAATTGAAAAAATATATATATTAAAAAAAAAGTCAAGTAGGACTGAGAGTGAAACTACCATAGCCTATGTGAATATCATTCTAGGAGTAGGAAGAAGAAAGACGAGAGAAAGCAAAGCTATGGTAGCCCAAGTCTAACATCCCTCTACTGATTTCAGTCAAACCCAGAGTCCAACAACTCTGAGGTGAGAGAGGAAACTACTGCGCTGATTAAATTCTTGTTGTTCCTCTCAAAGGGAAAAAAAATCACCACGTAAAGTTATAAATGATGCTTCAACATTCTTCACTTTCCTTCACAAGGAAGTATTTCCGACGAAAAAACAAAAAACTGATAGTCAGGAAAACGTGAACTGTTAAAAGTTACCATGAAAAATTTGTATGCTCTGAGAAATTCATTTGGCTAGTTGTCCTCTCCTGAATTTTACGATAAGAAATTGTTTCCCATAGGCTACAAATTGGTTTCGAACCACACTCGCCCGACCAGCCTAACACAATAAAAAAACTAAAAATATGTAATATTTTTTATTTTATATTTGAGTAGGCTACCAGCCGGGCCGCCCGGATCACCCTATTTTCCTGGGCGGCACGACCGTGCAAGATCTAGGGAAGGTCGCAACCCCAAAAAAAACAAAAAAAACAAAAAAAACAATCCAAAAAATTCGAAAAAAAACTATGTTATGCAGAAAAATAAACTGAACAACATTTGCCTCAGGGTCACATTGAAAATTTTTATCAAATTTAAAATTAAAAAATAAATTTATATTTTTTAATTTTTTTATTTCTTTATGGACCGACCAGGCAAGTGGACCTGGGCCACTCTGGTAGCCTAGATATTTGATAAATAATTTTAATTTGGTCCTAAGATTTATTTTTATTTTTATTTTTTTTCATAGGATAAATTTTTTCATATTTTTTCAATTTTTTTCTTGCCTTCGTTGGTCCTTGTACAATCGGCCTGCCCCAGCAAACAAGGTGACCAGGGCGTGCCGACTAGTAGCTTAGGTTATTTATTTTATTTTTATTTTTACTTTTTATTTAAGTAGTCAGGCAAGTGAGGTTGGACCACAGTGACATACTAAGCATAACGTAATTGATTTTAATCTTTTGATTTTTTTAATTTTTTTTTAGGGACTTTCCTTCACTCTTAGTCACTACGCCTAGGTAACTAAGGTAATGGTGAGACAAAATTCGTTCAATTTATTAATCTGTTATCTTTATAAGACGTTTTTCCAATAATAATATCTATTGATTTCTCATTAAGTTAAGTACATTTGAGAAAATGCTAGTTCCTCTATGGTGGAACAGATTATGGCCTACCCAAACCCTTCATAAAGGGGAGAAAAAAGTGTGGGGAGTAGGGGGCGTAGCCCCCTTTCCCCGCACTATTTTGCCGCCAGAGCGACTGTGTTTCTCCCTGTTTTTCTTTCTCCCACTCTCTCTATGAAAACTGCAAAGAATTCACTCAACCTATCTCACAAAAAAAGGTTCACAAATCTATGGTCATTTTTTGTTTATCATCATGATAAATTTCCTCCTTCATGGCTACGAAAAAAACACAGTGACACAACAAAAAAATGAAGAGAGATATAAATGATGTCTGTCAGCCATACGCATAGACAAACAAATAAACAAAAAAACAAACAGACAATCAATTTTTATACATTGTCATCAAGTCAAACCCATTTAAGAAAGTAATAGTTCCTCTATGGTTGAATACATTATGGACTACCAAAACCCTCTTTAGGTCTCCTATCTTGCCATTGTTCAATTGAGTTCGTTTTCACATGAACACATGTATCTACTTGTTAATACACATTTCAGAGTCAACCGAAACAAGTTTGCTCCCTACACCATTTTTTTCAAAAAAAGGCATCATCCTTTGCACAAACAGTGTGTGGAAATGGAGCAAAATAACTTGTGTACATCCCTCCATCTGCTCTCTAAATGCACGTTCTCTTTTTTCTAAATGCAAAAAAAGGGTCTGTGGGGGAGGGGGAGGTGTAGCCACCCCCGCCCCCTACTGCCGAACAACATGCACGTTCTCTTTTTTCCTTACTTTCACGTCCTCTATGCTCTGGTCATTCAATCAAGTTTGTTGAAGTCCTGGCCACTGATCGGCCCCCGGTAATTCTGACATGTCATTCATATCATTTGGCCTGGATTCGAACTTGGGTCTGCGTTTCGACAGACCACCGGTCGACCAGCCTGCATTGCCCCAACATAGTTGGGCGCCCCTACCTAGTTGGTCCACTCAACAGTCAACTGATCCCCCCACCGCCCCTCCTACTGTTCCTGACGGTGTATGTAGACTTCTGCTTCTCTCAACTGCATACCCCTGCCCTGCAGCTTTGTCCGCTCTGAGCTAGCCTATGTTTTTTTTTTTTTTTGGGGCCACCCCGATTTCGGTGTCTATCAATCAAGGAACAGCCGGGGTCATCTCTGTCCATCTCGAAAAAAATAAACACAACAACCCCAAGGTTCACAGACAAGTGATTGCCCCCTTCCTCATGCAGTCAAATTCTTGGCAAATCCTGGCAAATTGGGGGGCCAAGCGTTTGCGAGGATGACGACGGCGGCTTATTTGCCGGTCAAGCCAGTGGGAGAGGGCCCAGCGTGGCGAGCTGGTGGAGGCCTATCAAGTAGTCGAATGGGAGAGAGGGCAACGCTTCAAATCACTGTCCCGGAGGAGTGTTGTACCCGTTGCCGGTGATGGGCCCCCACTGGTTCAGGAGGACACTGGACGGCAGTCGAACTCGAAAGACCGAGAGAGATTGCCCCGCCCATGCCCCGCCCAGTCTGTAGTCGTGCGCTCAGTTGCGAACTTGTGCACTGCCGCACATGCGGGAGGGACGACAATACACTCACCCCCTGCGCACAATGGGCGGGTGTATCGCACGCGCCACGGCAGCACCCGCGTTTGCGCGTATCTGCTCGCTGCACTGCCTCATCATCAACAATCCCCGTCATCAACTGCCGAGGTTTTGAGATTCGCAAAATCTGAAAAATTCAAACTGCTGAATGCAATTGGCGGTGTTTTTTTGTCGCACCGCGATGACCACCCTTGGCGGGTGATCCGACCTTTAATTTCGGGACCCCAGTAAGCTGGAGATCGGAACAGCCTTGACCTTGATGGGCGCGAAGGGCCACGGCGATTTCAATGCAATAGAACGCGCTCCAATCGGCCGGCGGTTTAGCGCTCCCGCCCCTTTTGCTCACGGCGGGAATCATGCCGTGACCACTGAACACTGAACGGCGTGGAAAGCAGGAGAAGTAAGGACAAGTGGCGAAAATTTCCCATCGCGCTGTAGGAAGCAAGAGAAAGCAAAGGACATCAAGAACAGGCAACGAGTGGCTCTTTTTCTCACTTTCCCTTTTTGGGCAGCAGTCGAAGTTGAAGTAGTGGAGGGAGGCCGCAATGGTCGGGGCATCGGCGACGATAGTTGAAGCGAACAAGTTGGAGAGGGCTACTTAAGAAAAGGAGGACGGGAGTGTCGGCGACGCTAGTAGCAGCTGAAGGAGAGGGAGCGGTTGCACAAGTATAAGCGCAGTAGAAGAGGGGATATCATATCAGTACGTGCAGACAATTGATTGATGATTTAGTACAACAAGGTTAATTTGTGGAATTATCGGAGCGCAGCGAGTTTGTTGGGTGGAAGGCTTGCGGTGCAGGGTGGGGTGGCGTGAGGTGGTTGCCTTGGGTTTGACATCGGATCGGGTTGAATAACCAGTCCACGTGGCAGGAGGAGGCTCTTTCGCTAATCAGTATGGCCTGGCCAATCTATTTGTACGTTCCGAATCTGCTAGGTACTTCGATCTTATCCTCCTCCTCCTCCTCCTCCTCCTCCTCCATCACCCCACGGCCCCCACATACCCTGTATTTCTCTCTCATCTTTTCCTTTCGCCCTTTCTCGTGCATACACTCTTGGAAACGACGGTGAAGTGGAGTTGATTTTTTACTAGTAAGTCTATCATCGATAAGAGGGCTGGTCTGAGTTGATCGCTGCCTGAAAGCAGGCCAGTTAAAGTGGATTCTATTTTTTTTTTTTGGTGTTCCTTCGCGCCTATTCTCGTGTTCCTCTCCCCCTCCCCTCGGCCTCTTTCCCCAGTTCTCTCGCCCCGTTTAATCGCCTCCACCCTTCGAATCGGCGCTGAGCAGTTAATTTATGTCTATCGGCGCAATATAGGGCCGAACTGACTTGCTGGCCGGCGAGAGGCGATTGCGTTTTTCTTGATTTTGTTTCCTTTGTTGTTGTTCCTTCCCTCTGTGCCATCCCTCTCGGTCGTTCTGCCCTTTTTTATGATTGGGCAGTGACCCTTTTGCAATTTGTTGTAGCAGTTGGGGTCCGCATTGTAAATTGATTGATTGATTGATTGATGGTCACATATGTGCCCATGGATCGTGATGGAGAGGCACATTTTTCATCGAGGGATGACCGAAAGCCAAGGTAGAGTAGAGGAGGAGAGGGGTGGTGGAAAGGAAGCGGGGGATATAGGGATGGTGGAAAGGAAGCGGGGATAGAGGGGTGGTAGAAAGGAAGCGGGGATAGAGGGGTAGTGGAAAGGAAGCGAGGATAGAGTTGCGGGGGGACCAGGAGAGCGCCGTTTTCCTGCTCACGGCAATAGCTATATATTGTATTAACTTGTATATGTTATGTACATATGAAGAGAGACGTTTTTATGCGCTCCAGATCATGAGTATCGTGGCTTTCCGCCAACGGGGATAGGTTGATCGGCGGGGTTCAGAGGGGTTTGATTAGAACGGGTGCGGGCAGTGTGAGAACTGCACAACTGCTAATGGACGACGCAATCGACGAGTGCGGAAGGTAGCATGGGAAAACAAGTGGACAAACAGAAAGGCGGAAAAAAACGGGAAGATAAAATGAGATGGGAGAACGAATGCATGGAACAGAAAGGCAGAAAAGTGGGAAGATATATGGGACGGGGAAATGGTGTCCAGATCAGTCCGATGGTTCTGTGGATGAGCATGACTGTGTCTATTCCGCCATCGTAGCTGCACATTTCTCCGTGTATGCCGCATTACGAAGCTAGATTGGCTTGACCCATCAGGAGGGCCCGGACGTCAAACGGTCGAGCAGAAGCACGACGGCTGAGAAGCGTACACGTGTGTGTGTGTGTGTGTGTGTGTGTGTGTGTGTGTGTGTGTGTGAGAGTGAGAGAGAGAG